TAATAATAATAATAATAATAATAATAATAATAATAATAATAATAATATCGTAAGGTAAAGTGTTTGAATAAAGTCAAATCTGAAAGTGATGTAGACTAATTTTCATCATGATCTTCTAAATGAAGGAAACAAAGCTGGACCGCAGCTCTTTTTCTTTGAATTCCTGTCAAACACTCTCCATGGTGCTGAAAGCACATGGTCAGAGTGATGACCGAAATCACACGACACACATAATGATCATCTCTTTTGCAAGTGATGCATTCAGTGAAACTGGGCCATTCCTTTAAAGAGCTGCAGACATTAGAGATAATGTTAAAAATAGATTGTCAGGACAATAATAAATATTTTTTTTAGCTCCGAACATAAAATAGATTCCACCACCTGTGTATCCTGTGTATGTTATATGAAAATAAACTGAGTGTGTGTGACATGCGCTCGTATTGTAAACACGATTGAAAAAAAAAATTCAACTTAACATGATCATAAAATCACAATAACTGTTGCTGAGCACAAATACAACATATTGCCCACTGTATGACCTACAGACAAACTGAAAAACATCAACTTATAACAAGATGCCACAACGTAAACTCTCATAGTAAACACTTCAAACAAATACACCTTGTGTATCTCTGTCTCTGTCTCCCTCACTCTCTGAAGATATATGAAAATCTGAGAACCCCTGCATGCTGACAGGAATAAATACAGTGGTGTAGTCTACATTTGTGTAGTTGGTATAATGTGTGCTTTGAAACCTAAATACATCGGTTAGTACAATGTAATCATCAATTTATTTTGATTTCCTCGAAACACCTCCCTAGGAAGCAGAACACCCGCCGCTCAGCAGAAGATAATGGATGGATGGATATATGTTACATACACACACACACACACACACACACACACACACATATATATATATTATCATTATGTATTATTATACTTTTTTTTAGTTCAAAGTAAATTGGACAAGATATGAAATGTCTTTAGGATTTAAGTGGCTCATGTAAATATGAATGTTTTAAATTGAGTGCTTTTTTTTTAAAAAATGTGTTGTTTGAAAAATGAATTAAAGTAATGTGAACAAGAATCGTTGTTTAATAAGGGTTTTGCTGTTTATTGTTTTCAAAACTTGGAACTGGTGGCTTCAAACGTTACTAATACTTTTCAAACGTCAAAATATAAATATCCGGTCTAAATTTTTATTCTGAAAAGCCCCTTGCCCTTGTTCCGACAATGCTCTGCGTCACTCTCGCTAGCTTCACAGAGCTGGAGCATCTCGCGATGGCACACGCGCCTGACAGTTAATCACGCCCGGATGTTGCAATAAAATGACACGTGCTGCAAAGTTATGTCACGTATCACTGGGCACGTTTAAGTGGGTACACGGTCATTCCAAAACTTTTTTAGTGGATATATACCAGTGTATCACGTAGACTACACCAGAACGGGAAGATACACAAACACATTTAAACTGACAAAGTCCAGCGGAGTAAATGTTTGAATGACACGGAAAAAAAACAAACAAAAAAAAAACAACTTTGACAATTAGCTCTAAATATGCAAGAAAAAAAAAAATCACCTGATTATAGAATTAAAAATAGAATAGGCATATATATATATATATATATATATATATATATATATATGTATGTATGTGTCAAAGCAACAAACAAACAACAACTTCACCAGTACAGTTAAAAGCATGTTCAAGATTGATGTATTACAACAGTAAATGTATGATATTCAGAAATTTACCAATTCTTTAAATGGTAAATGGTTATAGAATGTACTTTTATATAACACTTTCCAATCTTATCAAACTCAAAGCACTTTAAACTACAGTCTGTGCCAACATTTACCCAGTCATACATCTTTCAATGATATCTGGACACAGACTAATCAGTACTTTATCACATTCATACACAGATGGTACACATATGAGAAGCAATGAGGGGATCAGTGTTTTGCCCAGGGGCACGTTGGCATGACACTGCTCTGAATCGAACACCAACTCTTGCATTGGGTGATGACTGTTTTAACAATTCAACCACAACTGCCCCTTTGGATCTTTAGATCCAAATTGACCACAATTTCTGAATCAAAAGTCCCATGAATATATATAAAGGAATCCAACATAATTAACTACTACATGTTAAGAATGCTAAGCAACCACCACAATATTTACAAAAAAAAATATTACATGTCCCAATGTACATCTATCACTTTGCTGCATGTGGTCATGATGCAATAAACAAATGATGCAAACTAAAAAAAAATGGCCCAAGTTACCGATGACATGTCTAAAAATAAAATTTGAAGAAAATGTCAATCATTCGCCAAATAATTTTAATTAAAAAAATCAATACAAGCTTCTAAAATTTGAGTAATTCAGGAATAAATATTCCCAGAAAAAAAAAAACAGAAGGGCAGTAAAGTGTTTCAAACAAACATGAGCTGCAGGTACGCTTCGAACAGGAATAAGGAAATTTATTTTCAGTATTTTTTAAATAACTAACCTCTAGAGGAGAGTCAGGTTGTTCCAGGAGGTTCTTGTCACTCTGTATCCTCTGCATGGTCCCTGTAGA